TGAGTGATGTGGGAGGGCCCAGCCCACTGTGGGTGGTGCCACCCCTGGGCAGGTGGGCCTGCATTGCATAAGAAAGCAGGCTGAGCAGGGGCCAGGGGAGCAAGTCAGTAAGCAGCATTCCTCCATGCCCTGTGCACCAGCTCCTGCCTCCAGGTTCCTGCCCTGAGTTCCTACCTCGGGCTCCCGGATGAATTGTGACCTGGGATATGTAAGCTAAATAAACCCTTTCCTCCCCACATTGGTAGTGGTCAGAGTATTTTGTCACAGCAATGAAGAACAAACTAAGACATATGCTCTGTCTTTGGCAGTAGGGTCTTACCTTCAAGTTCTGAGAGGCCATCAAGGGCTGTGTCAATAGCCTGAGTAATTTTGGGAGTCTCTTGGACCACCATGGCCAACAACTCAAAAGACGGTATCTCCTGTCTGACATTTTCTTGTTACGTAGCCTTTAGCTATACACATGGACTCATGTAGAGATAATGTATGTATAATTTATCAGTAGGTTGTTGGAGAATACACATGGCTGGAGTGGCCATAGATCTTAGAGAAAACCCCAAGACTGTCACGTCACAAGACTAATGTGATTTCTTACTATGCACAAAATGTGTATCCTTATGTTTACAGACAAGTATCCCAGTCACCACTCATCAAAGAAGCTCATTTTGCACCAGTCAGAGACTATTACCAACAACTACAACTGGTCACACATGGACATTGTCTATGAATTGCCCAGGCCCAAGTGATACATCTACAATGCAACCTCTACATGTAAAATTCATGGAACATAGAACAGGAATGATAAAGAGGACATGAATGAATCTCTCACTTCTCAATAATGAAGCTCCCTCACGCAGCAGAGGGCCAGGAACACAAAAGGTCACAAATAGCCAAAGTGTAGAGATCAAGAATCTGCTGAATGCTGTTCCTTGGACAGGACCCCTTTATTAAACTTCTCCCACCAAGGCTCAGGGACCATTGAAGAAGGGGAGGCAGAAAGATTGTAAGAGCCAGGGAGGAGGTACATGACCATATGGAAACAGAGTCCTACAAGCTCCTGGGAATCTGCTCATACGATTCTATGGCAATTGTGTCAGCATACACAAGTCCCATGCAAACTCAGGCAGACAGTAACCCAGCATAGAGTTGGGAAAATGAACAGCAGACCTCAATCTTATCTGAAGGAATGTTGGCAACTGATAGCTGCTAGATAAGGAAGAGCTGATCTTCCTAAAACAAGGGACTCTAGGTAGGCTGACTAGACTCAGTGGACAGACTTGCACTGGGGAACAGTTGGGGACACAGAAAACCCAGTGGGCCTTAAAAAGGATGACAGAATATATGGGCTCCAGTTGGGGGGCTAGGGGAGGGTGCCGGGGGCACAGGAGGTATAAAGATGATTAAAATTGTTTGAGCTGTTCTGCATGAAATACACAAAAACTTCAATAAAAATGAAGAAAGAAGGAAAAAAGCAAAAGAGAAAGAAATGGGTTCCAAGCTGGGCATGATGGCACACACACTTGGGAGGCAGAGGCAGGCAGATCTCCGTGAATTCGATGCCAGCCTGGGCTACATAGCAAGTTCCAGGCCAGCTGGGACTACAGGGAGACCTCGTCTCAAAAAGATTAAAAAAAAATTAAATTTCTCTCTATATAAGACTATGGATAATCCTTACTACCATCAACTGAGTTGTATCTATCCACTAGAAATACAAACCTTGATACCCTAGCCTAACATGATTATATCCTGATATAGGAATCTTAGGAAATGATTAAGTTTAAATGAGCTCATAATTGTGGTGTACTAGTTAAACAGAATTGGTGTCAGTTGTAAGAGAGAAATCTTTCTCACTTTCTTCAAACAAATGAGGGATAGGATATTTGACCATGGCCTGTGCTCCAGGTTCCTGCCCTGAGTTCCTACCTTGGGCTCCCTGATGAACTGCGACCTGGGAAATATAAGCTGAATAAACCCTTTCCTCCCCAAGTTGGTAGTGGTCAGAGTGTTTTGTCACAGCAATGAAGAAACAAACCAGGACAGGGAGGAAGGAAGGAAAAGAAATGGGATTCTAAGCCAGATGTGGTGGTTGCACTCCTTTAATCCCAGAGGCAAGCAGATCTCTTTGAGATCAAGGCCAGCCTGGTCTACATAGCAAGTTCCAGGCCAGCTGGGGCTACAGGGAGACCCTGTCTCAAAGAAGAAAGAAAAGAAATGGGATCCTGGGTTAGGGGTAAACGCCCCTGCTGCCCTGTCGGACAACCTGAGTTCGATCACCAGGACCCATAAGGTGGAAGAAGAGAACTGACTCCCACAAGTTATTCTCTGACCTCCACAGAAGGAACATGACATGCATGTGCATATGAATGCACATTAAACAAATAGGCTACAATAAATAATTTAAATAAAACAGTTACCTCCCTGTCTCAAAAAGACTAAATAAATAAAATAGAACTGTTGAGTGAACAGAGATCACTGAAGGCTGCAAATCAGGAGCTCTCAGCAGTCTGCTTGTTTTCTGAGTATGAACTATATATTTAACTGTGTGGATTCACCTTTGTCCAGGCTGTTCCTAAGCCCTACTTTTTGCACTTGATTTTTGAGACAGGGTACTGAGTTAACCAGGCTGGCCTTAAATATACCTAGCAGAGGCAGGTCTTGAACTTAGGGTCCCTTCTGCTTCAGCTTCCCAAAGATCTTCAATTACAGACCCAAGCCATCTGGCTTGTTTTTCAAGGGATCATTCTAGTTATAAGAAAAAAAAATCTTAAGAAGGAATATGGTGCGCGCGGTCCCGCGGGGATCGGTCCCCTGGTCTCAGCCGCGCGCCCTGGAAGAAGGCGGGTCTGGCCCCGTGGGCTTCTCCGTGTCTCTGTGGGTCTCTGCTGCTGTAGCGTTGTCCAGCCGTGTCTCCGCCCTGATTTCACCCGTGTACTTTCCTCAATATGTGAGTTCCACCGGCCCTAGAACACGCAGGAAAGTACGAGGCGCCTGAAGCTGGGATCCGCGAGTCGGTGACGGAGGAATGCTGCCTCCGGAGAGGCTGGATCGCTGGTAGTAAGACGCGGGACTCTGCTTAGTCCGTGTTACAGCTTTTATTAAGTGTTCAGCTCCTAGTGATCCAGCTCTCTATTATTGAGCTATTATTGAGAGAAGACTGGGATATTTATACCATGGGGGTAGTGGTAAAAGCTTTGGCTGATAGATACTTTGTGAGACATTCTATTTGCATATGGAAGTGGGTTTCTGCCATGCTGCCAGACCGCTGACTGCCTGAAAAATCACACAGGAAAACATGGTATTCCTAGAGCCAGAGGCAATGTTTATGTTAGGGCATCTGTGGCAGGCACTTCAAAAGGAGAGTCAGGAAAAATGCCAAGAAGGCACCCTGCTATGAAAGGAGTCCCAGCACATGGCTCCGAGCTCGTGAGCTATCTGGATATGAAGAGACTTCTACTTCACATAACAGAGGCCCCCAACAAAGGAAAAAGCATTTGCTAAGTTCATGCAAAAGTCTATGCAAGTTCCTGAGAAGGAGCACACAGATGTGGAGTGTACCAGAAGACCAGGAAGGACCAAAATCCAGTAGTCACATTTTTAGAGGAGACTGAGTCCCAGAAAGTTGACATCACCTCCGTGGATCCCACAGCTAATTAGTAAAGGCATTTCAACTATAACCTTCCTCCTGGATTTCCAGTCAAATATTTCTTTTGCTGGACACTGTAATTTAGACTAGATCAGCATCTCATATTTATATTTAGAAACTTTATTATTAACCATAT